CTTTCAAACTTCAATTTTTTACTAATCCAAAATATCGTTTTAAATAAACCAAAATAAATTATTAACAAAGAAGGAAATCAGTATTGAATAGGGAGTTAAGAGGAATAAAATATAATTTTGGGGTTTGGTTTTCAAGAATGGGAATTACTAAAAGTTATAAAAAATAGAGAACGAGGAATTTGATTGCAATTTGGACCTAGTAGAGTATTAAGTAGCACTTTATAGAACCCGTTTTCGTTTTATACAAACGAAACCCTAAACTACCGTTATAGAGAGAGTAAGAAGGAAAAATAAGAAGAAACTGGGGGGAAAAAAGAAAAAGAAGGTTTATAGAGAGCGAATACGGGGAAAAAAAAAAGGGAAAAAGATGGATAAGCAAAAATGACAAAGTGTCCGTTTGAAATTTGGAGAATCCGACACATATCCCATTTCCATACCCATGTCGTGTCAGCACTCCTACTATTTCAAAGAGTCCGAGCATCAAAGACCATAAGTTATGGCACATTTTTGGGAGAAGAAAGACTTAAAAGGTAGTTGGGAGAGGTGCATCAAGAAAGGAAAAGAAGTTTACAGCATATGAAGGGACTACTGGTAATTTATTGTAAGGGCTTTAAGCACGACTGGGGTCTTCGTGGTCCAAGATAATCAGACCATCAGTAAGAGGTAAGCATGAGACTTTTTGGTAGTACCGGTGAACCAGACTGGCTACATTTTCTCAACATTCAGTCCAAATCAAAGTGAACTCCGGAATTAAACTTAATCATAACTATAATCAAACCCACTCATCTAGATATAATGTTGCTAACCCACTTTAACCAGGATTTCAACCCAATATAATGAAACCCTAATTACGAGGTAAAACAACCAGATCAAATACAACTAATACCAAATAAAAAGCTAAAACCCAATAAGAAAAAAAAATTGTTATTGAGGTTCTAATTAACAGGAATACTGTGCAAAAAAAAAATAATGATTCGCCTATTAATTTGATAAAAAAAATGAAAAATAATGCAAAAATTCACCTGCATGCAAGTTTCGTCCCAGTCGTGGCCGAATCGGATGATGACGAGGCGTTCCTCCTCGGCGAGGATGGCTTGATCCACGGCCCATCCCGAGTGGAGGTGAGGCAGCATATACGACATCGTTACGTTCTTCGAGAGTTCGAGATTAGAAAATTTATTCTGGTTCTGTGATGACTCGGGCAGATGCCCAGGCCGTTTAGATTTAACCTTTTCTTTGTAATTTGCTCCTCTCTCGTCCGTTCCACTGCAATTTTCTCCAATTGAACCAAAGTCGCATTATTTGTTAAGTAGTCAAAATTTTCTGCGAGTGAATATGGTAAACATTATTTTTCACTAAATTCAAGGGTACCGTTATTTAGATCTTATGTGTATCATACTCTATATGCATTCCTATTAAAATTTTAAAATTTTAAAAAAATTGCTACTTTCAATCACATCAAATTTTAATATTGTTCTTATAAATTTTATTTATTTAAGATATTATATATCTATACATATTTTATATATTTATCCCACTATAAATACATTACTAATACAATTTCGAAAATCACTATATTCATCTATTAACTATCAATATTTAATCTGATTTTTACTTTTTATTTTCTATATTGTCATGTGGGTACTTTAATATTTAATTACAAAGGTTAGTAAATCTCTTTTCTTGAATTTATAGAATTATCTTAAGAGTATATAACTCACGCAACTAAACAAATCCCTACTCGAATCAGATATTATTTATTTTTTTCGCTTATAAGCTCTTAATTTTGACGGTTTGTGTTTCCATTGATAATTTTAAGTTTGTAACTTTAATAATGTGTTGATTTTTTTATTTTTATTTTTTTTTGAAATTTCCGTTGAACATGATATTTTATGATTAGGGTTTCATGATTTTAGTTAAAGATGATATTTCATCATTATTAAAATTTTAGTTAAACACAAACTCTAAAAAAGTATAAAAATGTTAAAATTTATGAAAATAAACATGAGTAAATGAATTTACAACAATATATTTTTATTTAATTTTATATATGTCCAGTGCAGGTGAGCCCATGCCCTTTTCAACCCTTTTTTTTTTTAAGAGCCTCGTGTTTGGAATGCAATTGTGGGATGGACAATATTTATAAACTTTTCGAATTTTTTAGGTAACTCAAAATAAATAAGCATTTGTGATTTTTGGATGATTTAATTTTTACGATGATTTCGTGGATCCAAAGGGTATTTTTGAAGTTTGGATTTGATGCTTTTGGTATTGAGTGATTAATTGTGGAATAAAGAAATATTTTATTTATTTTTTTGATTTTATCGATTTTAGGAAATTAATTTTGGATTATGTGATTGGCGGAAAGTTTAAATTAAGAAGAAAAATTGGCAGCGAATCTTTTGGAGAGCTTTATTTGACTAGCTTAATTTAATTTTTTATGTCTCTGAATGTAAACTTTGTTTCGTATTCATTAATAGCTTCCTCTTCTTTTTCACTATTGACAAATAGACAATGTCGTTAGTCTCAATCACTCATCTATGCATAAATAAGTGAAAAGTCACTTGCCATTATTGTTGAATTAGTATGCTATAGGTAAGTGTAATAGGCATTTGCAATATGATCGATCAAAGTTTTATCTTCCCAACTTTGATAGGATACATCAAATTGGCAGAGTTTTATGTAAAAACGAGATATTCAAGTTTTTTGCAAGACAATACATCCTACCATAGAAATTTAATTTTTTGAATGAGATACATTTTTTTTAAGATTGATAATGAAGTTATTGTGCAACGATATCAAAGTATGAAAACACGCAAAGAATAAGTGTAACTTATGAATTATGTCATTTTTAGCATTTTTGTGATATTTTTTTTTATATTTTTTTCATCATCAAATTTATAACCAAAAACTCAAAGTTTGGCGTCGATTAAATTGCCCGCACTGAAAAAATTTCCTGGCTCCGCCCATGTATATGTCTATTTAGGTATATTTATTTAAGATCATAATTATATTTTTAAAAGTGAATGTATATATAAAAACTGTTGATGTAAATAGCGGTACCTAAATTCCACTGGTGAACATTTTTACTTGTAAGCGATTCAATATTTGGTTTTAGATCAAGAATGGATCCGGTTCTGGTCCGAATAGGTCTATAAGCAAAGCAATATGGTTTATGTCTCATTATTTTAACTATACAAATACAAACGTCGAAAATTCAAAAACTCCATAAGACCATCAGTTTAGAGACCAGAAGTAAAGCGACAATAACAACGAGGCCGATGAAGCCTCTCAGTTTAATTTCTCCAAATCTATTTGATTCCATTTTGCAGTTTTAATGACAGTGAAGATGTTATTGGGAGCATCATGTCGTTTTATAGCTTTATATATTGTGTTAATAGACTTGTATTGTGACTTTATATTTAACTCTCAGGTACTTATTTGTTTACAATTATTTAATGAAAATGAGTTTTGATAAAAGTAAAAAATATTTTTGAAATAGCGGTAGACATAAATAGGCATAATTTGTACATATTTAGCCTACAAAAGTTAGGGAAACAATTTGTCGTGATTTTTATTTTGGTTTAGTTGGTATTTAAATTGAACCATATAATTTGTTCTATTTCATCGGCAATAAAGTAGAAAGATGTATTTTAACTAATGATCTAATGACATTAAAGTGAACAAGAAGGAATGACGGCTCAATCAAAGTTAAAATCGAACCAAACATGTTAGGTTTAAACTTGAGTTTTTTTTTTCAAATTATTTTAAACAATTTGATTCGAAAATACATTAAAAAATTTCGAAACGGATCGCCCCTTACATTCCTAGTTCTCGGTTCGAGTTACAAATCTAAATCTTGATTTGGTTCTAGAAATATATAATTTTTACTCTCTCAATTATATCTTAATTTATATAATTCATGTGTCTACAGGACAATTGAAAGTTTATCATATAAAGAGCTTGTTTGGTAGAACTTACAAGCCAATTAAAACCAAGTTTTTTACCGTTATTTGACTATTTCAGCCATCATTTTTTTTAATACTTCTCTCACAGGTAAAACTCACTTTATCTCTAACAGTTAAAAAATTAATTATCAAAAATCCCTACCAAACAAACACAAAATATAAGTTGTGAAATAATATAATTTATGCAATAGTTTATAATTCAAAGTTAAGCCCCCCATTTGGTACCAATTTTGCATTCCAAAAAATCAAAAATTTAACCATTATTTCACTATTTTAGCCGTTATTTTTAATTTTTTCACTCACAGGCAAAACTCACTTTTCTCTTTAACAGTCAAAAAATTAATTTTCATAATCATTACCGAACAAACCCTAAGGTTTCAACATAAAAGTACAAGACAAAACCTTACCACAACCAATAGGTTCATGGGGACAGAAGAATTCGGATCAAACCAAGAATTGATCGGATATGGTCAGATTCCTTTTTCTTGAAGGGAATCTATGGTTCCATTTTCACAATTCGTTCATTTCCTAGAGTAGAAGTAGAGATGCAAACCTACTAGCATTAAGCCACGTATTGATAAGATCACGTAGGAACAAGATTCGAATTTATTGATCTGCTTTGATGTCTATGCCTACACTGCATCTATCATTGTACTTTACTTGACAGACATTGTAATGATAAACAGCTTGTCTCGCCATGACTCTCTGTTCAAATTAAATCGACGAAAATGAATGTTATAATCCTTTAATTTGAATTTCTGTTTAAAAAATCTATTCAGGGAGGGAAAAATGGATGTACCCAACTCCCAAATTTGTTCGAACTTAATACCTTTAATTGCTAGTTCAAGTTCTTTGAGGTATCAATGAGTGAAGTCCTAAATAGAAGATTGATTTCAGTGCTTTGAGAATCGGATCGAAACAATTAGAGATCATATACTTGCAATAGTGGAATTCATTAATCATTAAGATGAGACGATCTCACTCAAAAATATTTTCCTAGGCAAATTGAACCTGAACTGAGTAGTTCGACGGTAAGATCGTTGGACTTTATATCGTGATTTGATCACAACGAATTTGCCGTATGAAAATGGAACTTAAAGGGTAATACATGTTGAAGGGCAAAACAGTCATTTTGCTAGTTTCAACATATTGGACGTCAAATGGGGGTTGACTTGTGTAACGATAATCGGAGGATATTATTATTAGATCATAATTTACTTCTATAACTATCACTCCACTCGAGAGCGCAGTCTTAATTTTTTGGTAGATTAAGCTGGGATTAGTAGATGTAACTCAATTGATTAAGAGTTGACCCAATTAGAAATATATATTTGAGCTTGGGTCATGTGAGTCCGTTCTATGAACAATTCTTTCTATACGCGCAGCCTTGTTGGACAAAATAAAGGGATGTAGAGAGTTATATAAACAAAACTCAGAAAATGGAAGAAGGTGTAGAATGAAAAAGCACTAGGATCATACTGTTGCACGAGCCGAAGAATGTCAAGAAATAAACAGTTGTTTCCATGTTAACAATAATTACACCATTGGATAAAATAACAATTAGTTGTAAATAAGAAAGCATACTGAACAACATGTTAATCCTTTTATGACAATGGAATCAGAAGTTCCCAAAGTAGAGATGAAAATTCTTGGAAACCAATTTTGAAGCCATTCTTGATTTGGGTTTTGAGCAAGAGGCTGAGGCTCGAACTTTTTTAATTTTTTAACTACACAATCTCCAAAAAATCACTTTTCCTCAAATTCTCATTAAAATGGAGTACAAACAGTGGGTAAGTAAAGGTGGGCTCCAATCCACCTAAATTTGAATTTCTATTTATCAATTTTTTTAGTTTTTTTTAATTTTTTAACAAAGTGTGAATTTTAATTTTGGATTTTTTTGTGGATTTCATGTATGTTTGAAAAATATATATATATAATTTTTTTTTTTTTTATAATCTAATTGTCAATATCAAACATCAATTTTAATCACACTCTTCGAACGGCTCACCATTATTATCCATTTATTCACTAATCATTTTTATCACTTTATAGTTTAAGAAATTTGCACTTTTTATCACCAATCTTGGCGAAACCTGACGAATCTATCCACAATATTTGTGTGCACAATAATTCATCCCCAACTATTTTACTTATATAACAAAACATCTTTTCCTCCATTTTGGTCAAAAATTCTCCTCTTAACATGGCGTCAAGGTGACCTTCCCCTTGTTTAGGATCCCAACCAAGTGTCCTGATAAAGAAGTGTAACAACAGCCAAAAGCATCATAACCTATTAGAATACAGAAAAAGGAATGCATTTAGTAGGTTATAGTTGATTCTAAGTATGCACCAGTTCTGTTCCTCCACACAAACAGAAATGACCCATCGGTATAATTAATCGCATGACTAATATTCTGCAATCTCATGAGGAGGAAAATCAATAATCATTTTTTTTTTTTCAATCGTCGACACTCAATATATACATTACAATGTTTTGAAGGAGAAAAAACTTCTCTTGGATCTCTCTACTTGAGCTACAAATGACTAAATTTCAGGCTAAATGACAATCCAAACCGATCTGAAAAATAAGGACAGCTTATAGCACAAAGAAGATTAAATAAAATAGTTATATTTCTTGACCGACATAAAAATGGGTTTTTTTTTTTTTTTTTTTTTTTTTTTTTTTTTTTTTTTCAAGGTGGTGGAGGTTGTCGTGTTGGTGGTACCATTGTTGGAATGCTTATATATGTGGAGGGAGTGTGTGACAGCGAATGGTGTAAAATTGGAAGGAGTTGGAGTTTCCTAGTGGATGGGTGAGCTTGACTAGGAAATATGAAATGTTTATTTTTCTATTTTTTAATATGCATTTAATTATTTTAAGTGTTGTTTATTTGTACTTTTTAAAAAGCTATGGGACTATTTTGCAATTTTTTCTCGTTTTTTCCTTTATTTTATTTTTGTTTATTTAAGGAGGAAAGCAAATTCGCCCGTTGATTAACAAAATGGATAGAATGACAAGTTTTGCTACATAATTGGAAGGTAAATGTTGAAGGTGAATTTGTACATTTTGTGGATGTTGGGAAAGAAAAGTGAAAATCTCCCATATAATTTTTACAACTTAAAAGTCCATCTAAACAAACTTCTCATCTCCAACCTCACAAAAAGTCACATGTAATAAAATACCGATCTAACTTGCACTTAAGTGATATTAAATAAGAGGCACAATTAAATGAATTATATAATTTCGCCTTCAATTAAACCTATCACATTATGATACTTGGAACGACGTTTCTTTTTTCCTTTATTTTATTTTTGTTTATTTAAGGAGGAAAGCAAATTCGCCCGTTGATTAACAAAATGGATAGAATGACAAGTTCTGCTACATAATTGGAAGGTAGGGATATATTTTGTTACATATGTTGAAGGTGAATTTGTATATTTTGTGAATGTTGGAAAAGAAAAGTGAAAATCTCCGATATAATTTATACAACTTAAAAGTCCATCTAAACAAACTTCTCATCTCCAACCTTACAAAAAGTCACATGTAATAAAATACCGATCTAACTTGCACTTAAGTGATATTAAATGAGAGGCACAATTAAATGAATTATATAATTTCGCCTTCAATTAAACCTATCACATTATGATACTTGGAACGACGTTTTCGTACCATTGCTGCTAAATGGCATTATTCGCCTATTTTCCTATAGGTTGGGATAATGGTACAAATAAAATTGGTTAACGGCATTTCTCACACTTCTTTAAAAGATTTGAGGACAAAGACTTTTAACCTATGTTTTTTTCCAGTTAGTACAACTACTATACACCATAGTACAACTTCATTAGACAATATAACACTAACTAAACTAACATACAGATGAATAGCATTGAAGAATTCAGACATCATTTCACAGAAATATATCCGATGTCATGAAAATCATCTAAAAATTTTAACATGAAACACCAAAAAAGAACGCGAAGTAGAGTTCAAGAGTCGCCTCTCTAAAGATTCAAGCCACCTGATAATAAATCCTCAAATCTGAATACATGGATAAAGTACAAAAGACCATCCAATAACACCACAAACCAGACATTAATTGCTGCGTAAATCTTTCAGACCTTTAACTAGCATAGAAGCTTAAGAATCCAGTTCCGTATAGGAACTGGAATTGTGAAGGTTTTCACCAAATCAACATACAAGAAGATTGTAAGATATTATAATGCATAAAGGGTAGGACGAGTACTCAATAACGATATTTGGTGGAGTAATCTTTCGGAGCAATGACTAGACCACGGCCCTTCCTTGCACCACGGTAGACCGTCTCGACGATGTCGATGAACTCCTGTTTATCCTTCAGTGCCCAGTTGATCTTGTTGTTGTTTCCAGTGCCAAGATCAATCATAATGTGCTTGTTTCTGAAGAAGAACATGATGGTGGACGGGTCATATAACTCGTACATTGTGTTAAAATCTGGCACTTCTGTGATATCCACAAGGTAAATAACTGCAAAGTTCTTTAATGTTTCAGCAACTGAAGCCAGCACCTCGTCCATCTGAAACCCAAAACAAATCGAATTGTAAACAACCAAAACAGAATTAGAAGTCTGCAGATCAACTTATGAATAATGAGAAGTTATCAAGAGCAATCAAGCAAATAACAAAAATGAATTCAGCCAACTAAAATGCGTAGACGAAGAATTGTAAATAAGATACTATCTCCAGGGAAACTGAAATTTCTTCCTCCTTACCACCATCCTCTCCGTGTCAGATAAATTATGTTATTCAACCTATTAATTTGTAACACAAATTTCAGTCGCTACTATATTAATGTAAATCTATCGGAAGGAAAATATAAAACCTCGGGTCATGAGTTGGAATACTTCCATTTAAACCTTATTTGATTTTACTCGAGTTCAAAAAAATAAAAAATAAATAAATATAAAAAAAATAAAAATAAAAAACTATTACTAGAACTAAAATTTATCACAAGCACCAATGGAACTGGGTAAAAGAAAGAAACATAATACATAACACTTGCAAAAGGACCTATAGAACAAAAGCAGTTACAGAGCTTTCTTAAACATTCAATGAAACCTTCAATCTCCAAAGAAATCAAACACAAAATAGTGGGGTAAAAGGAATCACTTCATACAGCAAGCAAGGCTATGCTTTACTCCAATAAACTTGTCGTTTATTGAAACGAAAGGATCGAAACCACATTCATTGTCCAACAATATTTCTGGATAGGTACCCCTGTGGAGGGGCCACCGAACTACATCTTCAACTTAATGCCTAGCCGAAAGATGTCCCCCTCCCCATCCGCTGACCCTTCCGACCTTCTTTTTTCTTTGTCATAGAGTATTAGAAGTGATCAGTCCCAACTGGTAGTTGATCCCCCGGGGGAGGGGGGGTGCTGGTTTGGTTTCATCCGTTTTTAAAGATTGAGTAAATTAACCTTCTTTTATTGGTCCTACCAGCCCCCTTACGTTCCACACAATTACGTTTCTCATAGCAGAGGATAGGGAATAGAGAAAGGAGCACCGGCCGGGCACCATGAATGCATAAGAAATTGACATTAGAGGGAATCGGACTTGCCCATAGCTCCTGCCGCTTGCCAAGCAGACAGAGCACTCATTATCTTTACTTGTCTCTCTACTACGGCCTTCCCATTGCTCTAACCCTAAGCTATGATGCTCGGACTCGGATACAGGTATCGATACGGGTACGTATCTAAATGTCGGATCCTTTATTTTCTAAAATAATATGGGGACATGACTAAAAAGAGTCCAAATTTTGGACACGGGTACGTGGTACGCCTTTCAAACTTCAATTTTTTACTAATCCAAAATATCGTTTTAAATAAACCAAAATAAATTATTAACAAAGAAGGAAATCAGTATTGAATAGGGAGTTAAGAGGAATTAAATATAATTTTGGGGTTTGGTTTTCAATAATGGGAATTACTAAAAGTTATAAAAAATAGAGAACGAGGAATTTGATTGCAATTTGGACCTAGTAGAGTATTAAGTAGCTCTTTATAGAACCCGTTTTCGTTTTATACAAACGAAACCCTAAACTACCGTTATAGAGAGAGTAAGAAGGAAAAATAAGAAGAAACTGGGGGGAAAAAAGAAAAAGAAGGTTTATAGAGAGCGAATACGGGGAAAAAAAAAAGGGAAAAAGATGGATAAGCAAAAATGACAAAGTGTCCGTTTGAAATTTGGAGAATCCGACACATATCCCATTTCCATACCCATGTCGTGTCAGCACTCCTACTATTTCAAAGAGTCCGAGCATCAAAGACCATAAGTTATGGCACATTTTTGGGAGAAGAAAGACTTAAAAGGTAGTTGGGAGAGGTGCATCAAGAAAGGAAAAGAAGTTTACAGCATATGAAGAGACTACTGGTAATTTATTGTAAGGGCTTTAAGCACGACTGGGGTCTTCGTGGTCCAAGATAATCAGACCATCAGTAAGAGGTAAGCATGAGACTTTTGGTAGTACCGGTGAACCAGACTGGCAACATTTTCTCAACATTCAGTCCAAATCAAAGTGAACTCCGGAATTAAACTTAATCATAACTATAATCAAACCCACTCATCTAGATATAATGTTACTAACTCACTTTAACCAGGATTTCAACCCAATATAATGAAACCCTAATTACGAGGTAAAACAACCAGATCAAAAACAACTAATACCAAATAAAAAGCTAAAACCCAATAAGAAAAAAAAAATTGTTATTGAGGTTCTAATTAACAGGAATACTGTGCAAAAGAAAAAAATAAAATAATGATTCGCCTATTAATTTGATAAAAAAAATGAAAAATAATGCAAAAATTCACCTGCATGCAAGTTTCGTCCCAGTCGTGGCCGAATCGGATGATGACGAGGCGTTCCTCCTCGGCGAGGATGGCTTGATCCACGGCCCATCCCGAGTGGAGGTGAGGCAGCATATACGACATCGTTACGTTCTTCGAGAGTTCGAGATTAGAAAATTTATTCTGGTTCTGTGATGACTCGGGCAGATGCCCAGGCCGTTTAGATTTAACCTTTTCTTTGTAATTTGCTCCTCTCTCGTCCGTTCCACTGCAATTTTCTCCAATTGAACCAAAGTCGCATTATTTGTTGAGTAGTCAAAATTTTCTGCGAGTGAATATGGTAAACATTATTTTTCACGATAAATTCAAGGGTACCGTTATTTAGATCTTATGTGTATCATACTCTATATGTATTCCTATTAAAATATTAAAATTTTAAAAAAATTACTACTTTCAATCACATCGAATTTTAATATTGTTCTTATAAAATTCATTTATTTAAAATATTATATATCTATACATATTTTATATATTTATCCCACTATAAATACATTACTAATACAATTTCGAAAATCACTATATCCATATATTAACTATCAATATTTAATTTGATTTTTACTTTTTATTTTGTATATTGTCATGTCGGTACTTTAATATTTAATTACAAAGGTTAGTAAATCTCTTTTCTTGAATTTATAGAATTATCTTAAGAGTATATAACTCACGCAACTAAACAAATTCCTACTCGAATCAGATATTATTTATTTTTTTCGCTTATAAGCTCTTAATTTTGACGGTTTGTGTTTCCATTGATAATTTTAAGTTTGTAACTTTAATAATGTGTTGATTTTTTTATTTTTTTTGAAATTTCCGTTGAACATGATATTTTATGATTAGGGTTTCATGATTTTAGGTAAAGATGATATTTCATCATTATTAAAATTTTAGTTAAACACAAACTCTAAAAAAGTATAAAAATGTTAAAATTTATGAAAATAAACATGAGTAAATGAATTTACAACAATATATTTTTATTTAATTTTATATATGTCCAGTGCAGGTGAGCCCATGCCCTTTTCAACCCTTTTTTTTTTTAAGAGCCTCGTGTTTGGAATGCAATTGTGGGATGGACAATATTTATAAACTTTTCGAATTTTTTAGGTAACTCAAAATAAATAAGCATTTGTGATTTTTGGATGATTTAATTTTTGCGATGATTTCGTGGATCCAAAGGGTATTTTTGAAGTCTGGATTTGTTGCTTTTGGTATTGAGTGATTAATTGTGGAATGAAGAAAGATTTTATTTATTTTTTTGATTTTTTTGATTTTATCGATTTTAGAAATTAATTTTGGATTATGTGATTGGCGGAAACTTTAAATTAAGAAGAAAAATTGGCAGCGAATCTTTTGGAGAGCTTTATTTGAGTAGCTTAATTTAATTTTTTGTCTCTGAATGTAAACTTTGTTACGTATTCATCGATAGCTTCCTCTTCTTTTTCACTATTGAAAATAGACTATGTCGTTAGTCTCAATCACTCATTTGTACGTATTTAAGTGGAAGGTCACTTGCCATTATTGTTAAATTAGTATGCTAAAATAAGTGTAATAGACATTTGCAATATGATCGATCGAAGTTTTATCTTCTCAACTTTGATAGGATACATCAAATTGGCAGAGTTTTTATGTAAAAACGAGATATTTAAGTTTTTTTTAAGACAATACATCCTACTATAGAAATTTAATTTTTTGAATGAGATACATTTTTTTAAGATTGATAATGAAGTTATTGTGCAACGATATCAAAGTATGAAAACACTGAAGGAATAAGTGTAACTTATGAATTATGTCATTTTTAGCATTTTTGTGATATTGTTTTATATTTTTTTCATCATCAAATTTATACCCAAAAACTCAAAGTTTGGCGTCGATTAAATTGCCCGCACTGAAAAAATTTCCTGGCTCCGCCCATTTAGGTATATTTATATAAGATCATAATTATATTTTTAAAAGTGAATGTATATATAAAAACTGTTGATTTAAATAGCGGTACCTAAATTCCACTGGTGAACATTTTTACTTGTAAGCGATTCAATATTTGGTTTTAGATCAAGAATGGATCCGGTTCTGGTCCGAATAGGTCTATAAGCAAAGCAATATGGTTTATGTCTCATTATTTTAACTATACAAATACAAACGTCGAAAATTCAAAAACTCCATAAGACCATCAGTTTAGAGACCAGAAGTAAAGCGACAATAACAACGAGGCCGATGAAGCCTCTCAGTTTAATTTCTCCAAATCTATTTGATTCCATTTTGCAGTTTTAATGACAGTGAAGATGTTATTGGGAGCATCATGTCGTTTTATAGCTTTATATATTGTGTTAATAGACTTGTATTGTGACTTTATATTTAACTCTCAGGTACTTATTTGTTTACAATTATTTAATGAAAATGAGTTTTGATAAAAGTAAAAAATATTTTTGAAATAGCGGTAGACATAAATAGGCTTAATTTGTACATATTTAGCCTACAAAAGTTAGGGAAACAATTTGTCGTGGTTTTTGTTTTGGTTTAGTTGGTATTTAAATTGAACTATATAATCTGTTCTATTTCATCGGCAATAAAGTAGAAAGATGTATTTTAACTAATGATCTAATGACATTAAAGTGAACAAGAAGGAATTATGACTCAATCAAAGTTAAAATCGAACCAAATATGTTAGTTTTAAATTTGAATTTTTTCAAATTATTTTAAACAATTTGATTCGAAAATACATTAAAAATTTTCGAAACGGATCGCCGCTTACATTCCTAGTTCTCGGTTCGAGTTACAAATCTAAATCTTGATTTGGTTCTAGAAATATATAATTTTTACTCTCTCAATTATAGCTTAATTTATATAATTCATGTGTCTACAGGACAACTGAAAGTTTATCATATAAAGAGCTTGTTTGGTAGAACTTACAAGCCAATTAAAATCAAGTTTTTTACCGTTATTTGACTATTTCAGCCATCATTTTTTTTAATACTTCTCTCACAGGTAAAACTCACTTTATCTCTAACAGTTAAAAAATTAATTATCAAAAATCCCTACCAAACAAACACAAAATATAAGTTGTGAAATAATATAATTTATGCAATAGTTTATAATTGAAAGTTAAGCCCCCCATTTGGTACCAATTTTGCATTCCAAAAAATCAAAAATTTAACCGTTATTTCACTATTTTAGCCGTTATTTTTAATTTTTTCACTCACAGGCAAGACTCACTTTTCTCTTTGACAGTCAAAAGATTAATTTTCATAATCATTATCGAACAAACCCTAAGGTCGACAAAACCTTACCACAACCAATAGGTTCATGGGGACAGAAGAATTCGGATCAAACCAAGAATTGATCGGATATGGTCAGATTCCTTTTTCTTGAAGGGAATCTATGGTTCCATTTTCACAATTCGTTCATTTCCTAGAGTAGAAGTAGAGATGCAAACCTACTAGCATTAAGCCACGTATTGATAAGATCACGTAGGAACAAGATTCGAATTTATTGATCTGCTTTGATGTCTATGCCTACACTGCATCTATCATTGTACTTTACTTGACAGACATTGTAATGATAAACAGCTTGTCTCGCCATGACTCTCGCCATGACTCTCTGTTCAAATTAAATCGACGAAAATGAATGTTATAATCCTTTAATTTGAATTTCTGTTTAAAAAATCTATTCAGGGAGGGAAAAATGGATGTACCCAACTCCCAAATTTGTTCGAACTTGACTTGGCACGGCCTTTTTTCAGGCATGCGAGTCTAGTCTAGATCGATCCTTGTGGGCAGCCAGCCTCTACAGTCAAGCCTGGCNTTTTTTTTTTTTCAATCGTCGACACTCAATATATACATTACAATGTTTTGAAGGAGAAAAAACTTCTCTTGGATCTCTCTACTTGAGCTACAAATGACTAAATTTCAGGCTAAATGACAATCCAAACCGATCTGAAAAATAAGGACAGCTTATAGCACAAAGAAGATTAAATAAAATAGTTATATTTCTTGACCGACATAAAAATGAAAAATTGGTATCCATTTCCTGCTTAATATATGCCATCAAAACTTTTTGACAATCAAACCCCAATAGGCAACAGGAATCTAAGAATATTTATTCAAAATCTATTTAAATTCATAATATTACTGTTGTAAATTCACAACTGCAACCAAGTTCCCCAGACTTGGGGAGAATTCTGCTACAAGAGCAATAAAAACTGCATCTGGTCAATCACATAGGTGCAGGATGGTAGCAGCTAGTGTAGGGCAGTACATGGCAACTCATATGATACTGGACAGTGGACAGTACCAGGTGGAATTTTTTTATTATTATACAGAAATTTTAAAAATATTTGATTGTGTCATACTCTTTTAACATTGAAGATATTATTTCAAGCACTCAAGGTTTTCTTTTTTTTATTTTTTTATTTTTTTTAGGTGCAGCAGTAATTTATGCCACATACTTCATTCACGTACAAATAAAAAGCAACTAGATCCAGTGGAAGATACATTGACGTACCATCCAAACAAAATTTTTAACACATTCATTAATAATCAATGAAGGTTTATTAAAAACTTACTCTGCAGGATACCGGAAAAGGTTGATAAAAAACAGCTTGACATTGTCTAGTAATTCAGGAGCAGCATCAGCCACAATTCTTGAAACTTTATAACTTATCTGTAAATAAAAATTGAGCCCAGGGAAGAGATAAGAAGTGGTAGCATGCTTGGAAGAAACATAATGAACACAAAATAAAGAACATTACACTGATCAAGTTAGACAGAACAATGTAATCACGTTCCCCCCTGTAAGCACTTGCCAACGTAAGCAAAGAGGTCAATGACTGCTGACATGCCATGGACAATGCGTAATAATCATCCAATACCCCTGTGCAGGAAAATATAGCTTAAATAATTCATTCTACTGTTGAACAAGATAAATAAGAAATATCCAGTCAAAAACCAGATTTACCATATTTATCACATGTTGACAGGCATTTTTTCTCTATTGCAAGTCTAAGTCTAGCCGATAAATCCTCATCATATTTAACCCTATAGAACCCAGTCTGATCTACATTAACTTTTATCCAAGAACTGAAGTTTGAAACTGAGGCACATGAGAGCTCCTTCAAATCAACACTTCCAGATGCTGTTTGCAGCAGGAAATTTTTACGAGCATCATAAGAGGAGCAGCACAACGTTACAGGAACTATCCATTGCCCATCACCACGAGAAGCACTCAATAGAAATTGAGTCTGTCATAAGTGTATAGAAAAGCTGTCAGAACTTCTAAAAGCCATCCAATACATATTGTACTTGAAAGGATACTGCCCTTGGATAGGACACTAAAGTGAATGATGATAGGATCTGTGATCAGGAGATAACCTGCTCAAACTCCAATTTTTGGCCTTTGACTCTCACTGAGACAACAGGATAACCTTTCTGCTTTGTCCATGAGTTCATTAGCCTGATCACTGGCTCACCAGATTCTTCCTGAAGAACAGACCATAAATCTTCTGTCTTTGCATTTGAGCAAGCATACCGTTTTATGTATGAAGCAAGTGCCCGCTGGAAGAAGTCCAATGAAACAATTGTAAATTATCAAATGAACAGATGAAGAGGTAGAATGGAATTCAATAAATGGTAATATCGGAATTTTTAGGAGAATTAGAGAATTATAAAGGATCAAACTAAAAGCAAATGGTAAGTAATGTTTGCAATTGTGTAACCACTTGTATGAGTGAGGGTTCTGAGGAGAATAATCATTACAATTAATTTCCAGGGCACTGTGTAACTTCAAAACTGAATTGTACAAATAAATATAAAGTGCAACAATTGGAACCTTGAAAAGAAATTCATGTACATAGGTTCTAAGCCATCAACACTTGTCAGCATATATACTAATCCACTGATGCATCATTTCTAAAACAAATTTTAGTTGTGTAGCAGAAACATTGTGATTATTGAAATAAGCAACTGACCACTATGCCTATCGTTTCTGTAATTATTTTTTATAAAGCTTTTAGAATAGATAGAACGAACTAATTAAATAGTTGAAGCATATCTTACTTAGACCTATATGAATCTTATATTTACAGGAACAATGCAATCCCTACAAAATAGGTTAGACAAAGTAGATGGAGAGATAGACTATTGCTGTTGTTGGGTTTTTTGATACCCAATAATCCGGGCGATGATTTAAAACAGTTGTCGGATTATTTATCGATACCATGGACTCGGCTCGACTCGGAGACGAACTCCACTTTTGGATGGCTCGGGTTTGGGTTAGATGATTATTTGGTTAGTTGGACCATTTAGTGATTAATATAAAGTTGAATATTGGCCCATTAGTTTAGGTTAATTGGTAGCCCTCTTAGTGAACCCGAGGCTCAATTGGAGTGACCTAAACTAACCTATATATATGTATTTATCTCCCAACCGTTTTGGTGTGTGTGTGTTGTAGCAATGGAGAGAAGAGTTGAGAGAAGAGAGGCAGCCGAGAGAGAGGGAAGCCATATGAGGTTGTGAGTAAGATTCAACC